AGGAGACCTCTCAGTGGCTGAAGGTGCTGGTGTTCCTTATATATGAAGAGAAGTCATTGTCCCAACCCAACCTTCAAAGGAAATTAATTAGGTGAGGACTAGCACAGCTCAAGAGCTGAGCTGTCCTTCTAGAATGTTATCCTGGGCCAGAGAGATCCAGGGAAGAAAGAGGGAAGAGAGTTGTGGATTTAAGTGTGAATTCACTGTTAGTGAGAGAACTGTGGCAAAGAGTGAACAGTCTTAGCCTCTCAGGAGCAACAAATTCTAGCCAGCTGATGTTTGTATTTTCACAAATACTGGTTTTCCAGTTTGATTAATGTATAATGTCCCTAGGGCTGCCATAATTTATCACCAGTAGTGCCTAAGGCATTTGACTGCCAACCAGAAGGCTAGCAGTTTAAACCCAACAGCCACCTCTCAGAAGGAAGGTTGGGCAATCTACTTCCCTAGTGATACTACTTCAGAAACCCAAGGAGGGGTCCCTATGAATCTTACTGACTCGATGGCAGTGAGTTTGTTTTTTAGTTTTATGTGGCTTAAGGAGTCCCTGGTAATCAAAAGATTAGCGGTTTGAGTGAACCAAGAGATAGATACCTTGGAAGAAAGATCTGGCTATCTACTTCCAAAACTCAGCTACTGAAAACCCTATGGAGAACAGTTCTACTCTACATATATGAAATCTCCATGAGTCAGAATCAATTTGATGGCAACTAGTTATGTGGCTTTAAAACAATAGAAATATATTGTCTAATGGTTTTATGGACTGAAAATCTTAACTCAGGGTGTTGAAAGATCCATGCTCTCTCTCTCTGAAGGCTCGAAGGGAAGATCCTTCTTTGTCTCTTCCAGCTTCTGGTAGCCCTACGTGATCCTTGACTGTAACAACAGAACTCCAGTCTCTGCCTCTGTCTTCACATAGCCATCTTCTCTTTGTGTCTCTTCTCCTCTTCTTATGTGGACACCAGTCCTAAAATGATTAAGGCCTACCCTAATGATGTCATCTTAACTCATTACATCTTCAATGACTCTATTTCCAAATAAGATCACATTCACAGGCACCAGCATTAGAACTTCAACATATCTTTTTTGGGGACATAAATAGCAATTAGTAACTATGTAGTTTTTGTTGGGTGAGGTCTAGTCAGCTCTGACTCATGGTGACCCTGTGTACAACAGAACGAACCACTTCCCAGTCCTGCACCATCTTCACAATCCTTGCTATGTTTGATCCCATCATTGCAACCACTGTGTCAGTCCCTCTCATTGAGATTTTTCCCCTTTTTCACTGATCCTCTACTTTACCAAGCTTGATATCCTTCTCCAGGGATGATCTCTTCTGACAACATGACCAAAGTCTGTGTCTAGGCATAATTTATAAGTCATGTCTCCAGATCAACAGCTATCATTTCACATCATTTTTCCCTTGAGGAAATCTTTTAACTGCTGTTCTTTGTTAACTTTGTGGGTACCTTTCCTCATCTGATTAGAAAGAAGAAGGATGGAAAAGTCAAAGTAGCACTCATTTTCATGGAGTGTTGAGAGGAGCCTCAGCTGCTTTCAGGTTGGGAGAAGGGTCAGAGGGCCTCGGCTTCTCATGGCAAGGCCTCATGATAAAGCCTTGGGCAGGGGCGGGGGAGGGGGTGTAGGTGGCTCTGCTTTATGCGTTGGCCAGAGCTAGAGCCTCTAAGGGTGGAGGGAGGTCTTCAGTTTAAGCCTCTTGGGCACATATTCTGTGTCCTCAGCTTCCTCGCCAGATGGAAAAATCAACCTCAGCCACCAAGGTTTTTGTGTTCAGTTGTTTGTGGAGTCTCACAGCAGAATAGGCACCTCACTGTTGCATTGTTCTACAGGGCTCTGAAACAGAACCATTAACACAGCTGTGTATTTCCTCCAGGGAGGATGCATCTGGGCCTTTGGCACCTCTCTTTTCAACTGTCTGGTGGACCAGAGCCTACATGCTTCCCTTATTATGTATTGAAGCAGAAATAATTTTTTGTCAAAGGGATTAAAAAGCAGCAGTTAAAAGTGTCTGCTTGGACTTCTGTTTATTTTCCATTCACCAACAAAGTGGACAGATGAGGTGACTAGTTGTAAGGAGGGAATAGAAGACTTTCTCAGTGGGGCGGAGTGCTTCAGTGTAATTAGGTGGTCAGCCCAGTTCTTCTCCCTCTGGGACAGAGATTAAGCAGCTCTGCACATCAAAACCAGACAGGGATCGACCTCCTGACCATAGTTGGAATATATTGCTCATTTCTTTAGAAGCCTAAAAACAAAGACAATCATAACAATTTTGGGAAGTAACTTTATAGGATTTTTTCTTTTAACTCAATAAGAGGAATATTTTAAGTATGCTTCTATTTTTTTCCTAGACACATATATCTTTTCATATTCAAAGTAGCTAACTTCTAAGGCTGTTTGTCAATATACTTCAAATTAAGCAGGTTGTGGAATTGTTTGATCTGCATGCCAGGTAAGTATTAGAATGTGAAACTTGGAAACAAGAGAATCATCAGTAGTTGGAAAATATGGCTATGGTGATAGAAATGACACCAGAGATGGCATGATGGAATTCTGCAAGACCAATGACTTATTTGTTGCAAATAACCTTTTTCAACAACATAAATTGTGGCTATACATGTGGACCTCACCAGATGGAATACCCAGAAATGAAATCAACTACATCTGTGGAAAGAGGCACTGGAGAATCTCAGTATCATCAGTCAAAACTGGGCCAGGAGCTGACTGTGGAACAGACCATCAGTTGCTCATACGCAAGCTCAAGTTGAAGCTGAAGAAAATTAAAACAAGTCCATGGGAGCCAAAATACAACCTGGTTTATATCCCACCTGAATTTAGAGACCATCTGAAGAATAGATGTGATGCTTTGGACACCAATGACCAAAGAATTGTGGGATGGCATCAAGAGATTCACACATGAAAAAAACAAACAGTCATTAAAAAAAAAGGAAGAAAAGACCAAAATGGATGTCAGAGGAGGCTCTGAAACTTGTACTTGAACATAGAGTAGCCAAGGAAAGGATCAACTCTGGAGATCCTGCAATAGAGCGGGAGGAAAAACGTGGAACAAAATCAAAAACTCAGTAATGACCAGAATTACTGGTCAGATGGAGTCTGGTGAGACCCCCAATACTATGGCCCTGGTATACATTCTGGACCTGGAATAAAACTCACTCTCAGGGGCTAGTTCACAGCCCAATAATAAACAAGATGTACACGCAGACCACTCAACCCAGGGTGACTTACCCACATACTCTATGGAAATACATCCCTTGGACCAGTCGACTGTGGGGCAGCAGAGGGGCAACATTCACATGGAGGAAATGCAGGACACACAGGAGTGCATAACTATGAGGGACATGGGAGAGAAGGGGTCACTGGGCAGGGAAGGGAGGAGATTGGGTTAGGGTTGGGTATGGTGAATGGGAAGTGAAACTAAACGTACATTTAATGTTAAATGTAAAACAAACTCTGCTCTGTAAACTAGCACCTAAAGCACAATTGAAAAAAAAAAAAGATAAAGGACTAGGTTTGCTGGTTTGATAGAGCCTGGTATAACCACTGAGACTATGGCCGCTAACTGCCTTTTAGGTCTGGAATTGAACCCACTCGTATGGTTTCCAGCCAAACAAAAGACAGGTATAGGAGCTGAATGTTTACATTAGTTAGATACACTCTTGGAGAGATCAATCATGGGAGAAAAGAAGGGCTGTGTATGCACAGGGAGATAGTTCAGGGGGCAGGAGTGCGTGAGAGGGAAGGACACAGGGAAGAGGTAACTTTGGGGAGGAAGTGGGAAGAGGCCTGTTGCATTGTGGGAAATTGCAGTCAATGTCATGAGACAAAGTGCATGTGAACTGCAAATGGAAGATGAATTTTCTCTGTAAACTTTCAGCCAAATCACAATAAAAATTAAAGAAAAGAAAAAAAAAAACAGATCGTTTTACCAATACATGTTTCAGAATTGATTTATTGGTTCAGTTTTTCCAGGTAATATAGTGGGTTTATACATGATATTCAAATATTTTATTTGGAGAAAACTTTCCTAAATTATAGTTGTAAGTATTGTATTCCACATTTTCCCTTCTTCAAAGACTCAAACTTTTTTTTTCTTTTAGTAGCTTTGTGTAGATGTGGTCTATTATTTTCTGTTAATTTTGAAGTTTCCTTAAAAAGCAACAATAACAGTCGTGTGAATACAGGGAAGAAGGATTTGGGCTGCTTACTAAGTTTCTTAGTTTAAGTCCACACACTTCTATTGTATATGAAACTTCCACTCTTTCTATATTTTGTTAATCTTTCAAGGTAGATCAGAGTGGATCAGTTTGTTACACTTTCAAGTTAGACCCGAAACCAATTTTGTATACATTATTTGAAGACTTTTTAAGGTACTATATTTATTATAAATGATGGTAAAGTTAATTCAGAATAGAACTGTGAAGCTTCAAATTTGACAGCTTCAAATTGAAAATTTTTATTGTGGGTTTGCCTTGTAGTACATATGATTACAGCAGATTGACTGGAAATCTTGTTGTAATCTGAAAATTAACATGAAATGTAAATGAAGCTTAGTGATTGGCTAAATCAAAGGGACTTGTTAAGTGAAGTTAACAGGTAGGGTTTATATCTTAGATAACTGAAAATTAAAACAACTAGAATTATTTCCAAGAAGATTCATTAACTGACTCTAGTTCATTTTATGTTTATTCTGTTTTATTGGTTTTGTCTATTAACATAACCATTTATTGATTCTACTATTTGTCAAGCCCTGTTTGAAGATCCAATAACACAAAGATGATTTAAAATAGGATCTCTCACTTCAGAAATGCATGGTCCAATTTGGACTACATGGGAATTAATTTCAAATAATACAATTTTTTTCCAGAGTTGGTCATTCTTCTTTCAGTGAGTTTGGTGTTTTAAATTTTCTCCTCTTTGTTTGGGTCACATAGTTGAATTACATTTTGCTTTCTCTCCTGCAGGGCAGCCACTGATCACAATGTGGATAATACAACAGAAATACTCAGGGAATGGTTGAAAAATGTGCAGAGACTGTATCACTATGTAGAATGGAGGCCTATGGATGAACCACAGTGAGTAGCAAGATCAAATTTTGTAAACTCTTCATTTACTCTTTCACCTCTAACTAATTCTCCATTCATTCAAACATCGAACCTAGGAAGCACACATGAATTTTTGTCTTAATTTCTGTAACTAGTGAGTTATGAAGAGCTGCCATTTCTTCCTTTGACAGATCTTCATATTTATCTCTTTGTCTTTGCTCTAGCCAAATTCAGGTTCTCATTAGCTCATTAGTAAATTACCACTATTTAAAATATCAGTATTATTTTTTCATATTTTGAATATAAACTTTCTATACTTGAGAGATCATGCACCTGACTTTTTTCACTTACTGTATCTTGGAAATCATTCCATAGTAGTAGTTATGGAACTTCTTCATTCTTTTCATGAATCCTTTATAATTTACCCATTGTACGGATATATTACAATTATCTAATCAGTCCTCTACTGATGAACATTTAGGTTGTTCCCAATCTTAACCATAGCAATTTTTTAGTTGCTTCCATCTCCAAATCATCCTACATATCATCTTGTAAAATCAATCTACCTAAAATACTAATTAAGTAGTTTCTTCCTATTAAAAGGACTCAAATAGCTCTCCAGTACCTACTGAACAAAGTTCAAATACCTCAGACTTATATTCAAAAATTTCCATAAATGTGGCCCACATATTTATGCACTCATATTTCCTGATGATGCCTTGCAGAAAACCTACTTTATTCAAGATGTTCCTGTTCTTTTTTTTTTTTTAACCCCAAATCTTAGCTCTTGCAGGTTTATTTTCTTGAAAGGCCCTTCCCTTCTGTGTAACTAACTCAGATCCCAAATCCTACATACCTCAGAAAGCCATGCCCAATTACTGCAGTTACAAAGATCTCTTTATCTTTCAATACTTGTATGGTATATACATCATCCTTTTGATACAATGCACTTAACTAACGTTGTTATTTAAATATGCAATTTATGTATTTTTTTTTTTTCAAAGTAAATTATAGGTTCTATGGCAGGGAGCTCTGGTGGTGTAGTGTCTAAGGCATTTGACTGCTAACAGAAGGCTGGTGGTTCAAACCAATCAGCCACTCCTTGGAAGGAAGGTTGGGCTTTACTTCCATAGAGATACTGCCTCAGAAACCCAAGGAGGGGTCATTATGAATCAGATCTGACTTGATGGCAGTGAGTTTCTTTTTATTGTTTTTTAATGGCAGGGACTAGAAAGTACAAAATATTTTATATTTTCCCCAGAACTGTGTAAATTAATTAACAGTAAATTAATACCTGTTGGATGAACAAATGAGTGAGTGTGAGCATGAGGAAATTATTGTAAATGTTCTCAAGGCCACTATAATTCCAGCTTAAGGTCAACAAATTTTAGAGCTAGAATAAATTGAGTTTGCATGAATTTCTGTCTGTTGTTGTTGTTGTTAAGTGCCATCGAGTCGTTTCCGACTCATAGCGACCCCATGCACAGCAGAACGAAACACTGCCCGATCCCGCGCCAGCCCCACAATCCCTGCTATACTTGAGCTCAT